GGCTATTTTTGGTTGCAGCCATCATTGTTGTTTGGCGGGTCCGGGCTGGGGATTCGAACCCGCCACCTTAGGTGTACGTGGCTGGCGCCTTAGCCGATTGAGCTATAGGCGCCAAGCCACAAGGGCACTTTTTAATAGTTGCCTTGGTGCGCTTACCCACGCTAGTGGCCCTGCATTTGCGCGCCAACCTGTGCCAGTGGCCCTGCATTGGCACTCCAAGACGCACTAGTGGCACTGCATTAGCTGCCACCCCACACCTGTGGCCCTGTATTAGCATGCTAAGATGAGCTAATAGCCCTGCATTGGTGTGCCAAGCTGCGCTGGTGGCCCTGCATTGGTGCGCCAAGACAGGCTAGTGTCATTGCATAGGCATGCCAACACGCACTATTGGCCCTGCATTGGTGCATCAAGACACACTAGTGACACTGCATTGGTGCGCCAACCCACACCTGTGGCCCTACATTTGCACAACAAAACATTCTAATGGCACTGCATTTGCATGCAAACATGCACTAGTGGCCCTGCATGGGTGCACCAACCCGTGCTAGTGACCCTGCATTGGTGCATCAAGACACTCTAGCGACACTGCATTGGCGCACCAACCCGCACCTATGGTCCTGCATTAGTGTGCAAAGACGCGCCAGTGGCCCTACATTCACATGACAAAATGCACTAGTGGCACTGCATTTGCGCGCCAACCCGCATAGGGGTCCTGCATTGGCAGACCAATCCGCGCTAGTGGCCCTGCATTGGTGCGCCAACCCACACTAGGGGCCCTGCAATGGTGCACCAAGATGCACTAGTGGCCCTGCATTGATGCGCCAACACACGCCTGTGGCACTACACTGACCCACCAACACACGCCAGTGGCACTGCATTGCCAAGCCCAGACGTGCTAGTGGCACCACATTGATGTGCCAAAACGCACTAGCGGCACCATATTGGTGCACCAACACGTGATAGTGGTGCTGCAATCTCTCATATATATATATACACACATATATATATTTCAGCCTATCAATCTCTCATATATATATATATATCAGCCTATCAATCTCTCATATATATATATATATATGCAGCGATAGTGGCGCTGCAATCTCTCATAAATATATATATTTATTTATTTATTTATTTCAGCCTAAAAATGAAGTTTTGGTTTTTGTTGCCCCAGTAGAGTGCCATGACTTCACACAGCTCACAGCAGCCTCCAATTCCTGGACCTAGGCAATTCTCTTCCCTCAGCCTCCTAAGTAACTGGAACCACAGGTGTCCACCACAACACCCAGCCATTTTTTTGTTGCAGTTTGGCCAGGGCCAGATTCGAACCCACCACCCTTGGTATATGGGGCTGCACCCTACCACTGAGCCACAGGCACCGCCCTAAAAATGAAGTTTTAATTTAGTATGCAAACAGGAACTATAAAAAAAGGCAGATTGCTGGGGCAACGCCTGTGGCTCAAAGGAGTAGGGTGCTGGCCCCATATGCTGGAGGTGGCCGGTTCAAACCCAGCCCGGCCAAAAACTGCAAAAAACAAAAAAAAAAGGCAGATTGCTTGACTTCAGGAATTCCATACTAGCCTGAACAAGAGGGACACCATCACCACTGAAAATAGAAAAATTAGCCAGGGATTGTGGTGGGAGCCTATAGTCCCAGCTACTAGGGAGGCTGGGGCAATAGGATTACTTGAGCCCAGGAGTTTATTTAAGGTTGCTGTGAGCTAGGGTGACACCATGGCTCTCTAGCCTGGGCAACAGAGAGGGACTCTGTCTCAAAAAAAAAAAGAAGGAAAAAGAAGAAAGAAGAGGAGGAGAAAGAGGAAGAAGAAGAAAAATTGGCCAGCCGTGGTGGTACACCACCTATAGTCCCAGTTACTCAGGAGGGTGAGGCAGGAGAATCCCTTGAGCCCAGGAGTTTGAAGTTGCAATGAGCTATGATGACGCCACTGCACCGTAGCCTGCGCAACAGAGCCAGACTCTCTGTCTCAAGAAAGGCAAAATTCAACAGAAGACTCCCCTTGTTCCCATATAATTCATGCATTCAGGAGAAGACATGAAGAAAAAGGAAAAAGAACAAAATAATGGGAAACTAATCATGTTCAGTTGTAGTTAACTGGAAAAAAAGTCATCAAATAAGGCCGGGCATGGTGGCTCGTGCCTGTAATCCCAGCCCTCTGAGAAGCCCAGGCAGGCTGATCACTTGAGCTCACGAGTTCCAGACCAGCCTGAGCAAGAGTGAGGCCCCATCTCTAAAAATAGCCCAGCATTGTGGCTGGCACCTGTAGTCCCAGCTACTCAGGAGGCTGAAGCAAGAGGATCACTTGAGCCCAAAGAGTTTGAGGTTGCTGTGAGCAATAATGCCACAGCACTCAATCCCAGGGTGACTGACACTCTTGTCTCAAAAAAAAAAAAAAGCACAAATAACAGACTGAGGGTGAACTGTGACTCTCTGACCAAATGAGCGTGCTCCCACTAGGACCGTGGAAATCCTCAGGGCCTGCATTGCATATATGCCTTCAAATTTTTCCCACTGGCTCTATCCTGTCTTACTTTGTAAATTACTTTGGTCCTAATTTCTTAGTTTTCGTTGCACAACCTATTTCCTATAGTTGCCTTAAATTCTTTGTAGAATAAAGGTAATATATATGTGTATATATGTGTTTATAATGCATAAATTACGAGAACCACATGCACTTCTACCTTGGACACCAAGTGGGAGCTACCAATTGACAGTTATCAAGAATTAGTCAATTAGTTGAGGTACCCTAAGTACATTCATTGTGGATACTTAAGGGCAGAAATGATGTCATATTAATCATATATCCATAACACAGCAAACAGAGTAATAGTTTACTGAGCAAATGACCTAGAGGATAGTCTAAGCTCCATGGGTAGTTTTTCAATTGAGACACCAAATCAATTATTTGAATTTATACGAATTGGTATAATACTTTCAGAGTTGAATATATCATCTCATTTAAAACTTTTGTACTGGCTTGGCACCTGTGGCTCAAGTGGCTAAGGCGCCAGCCACATACATCTAAGGTGGCGGGTTCGAATCCAGCCTGGGCCTGCCAAACAACAATGACAGCTGCAACCAAAAAATATCCAGGCGTTGTGGCAGGTGCCTATAGTCCCAGCTACTTGGGAGGCTGAGGCAGGAGACTCGCTTAAGCCCAGGAGCTAGAGGTTGCTGTGAGCTGTGATGCCATAGCACTCTACCCAGGGAGACAGCTTGAGGCTCTGTCTCAAAACAATAAATAAGTAAAACTTTTGTACTGGTGGCACCTGTAGCTCAGTGGGTAAGGGTGCCAGCCACATACACTGAGGCTGGCAGGTTCAGACCCAGCCCAGGCTAGCTAAAACAACAATGACAACTGAAACAAAAAAAATAGCCTGTAGCCTCAACTACTTGGAGGCTGAGGCAAGAGAACAGCTTAAGCCCAAGAGTTTGAGGCTGTTGTGAGCTGTGATGTCACAGCACTCTACCTAGGGTGACAGTTTGAGACTCTGTCTCAAATAAAATAAAATTTTTGCATCATAAATTTATAGCTATATGTTTTTTCTGATATATATGATCACAAAAATAAGTATTAAGGCACTGTGGCTCATGTCTATAATCCTAGCACTCTGGAAGGTCGAGGCGAATGGATCGCCTAGGTTCAGGAGTTTGAGACCAGCCTAAGCAAAAGCAAGACTCCCTCTCTACAAAAAAATAGAAAAATTAAGCTGAGCATGATGACAGAGGCCAGTAGCCCCAGCTACTTGGGTTGCTGAGGCAGGAGAAGTGCTTTAGCCCAGAAGTTTACGGCTGCAGTGAGCCGTAATAGTGATGCTACTATACTCTAACCAGGCAACAGAGTGAGACTCTGTCTCAAAAAAAGTAGTAAAGATTACGCATGAAGCAGATAATATGAAGTTAATGAAAAAGTACAAGATGAAATTTCAATACTTCAGGCCAGGTGTAGTGGCTCACACTCCTGTAATCCCAGCACTTTGGGAGACTGAGGCAGAAGGATCCCTTGTAACCAGCCTAGGCCACATAGAAGACTCCATCTCTGCAAAAAAAAAATTTTAAGAATCAGCCAGGTGTGGTGGCATGTGCCTGTTGTCTAGCTACTTGGGAGGCTGGGACAGGAGGATGATTCAAACTCCCGGGTACAAGGCTGCAGTGAGCTATGATGAGCCACTGCACTCCAAGACTATATCTCTTTAAAAAAGAGGAAGAAGAAGGGGCGGTATCTGTGGCTCAAGAAGTAGGGCGCTGGCCCCATATACCGGAGATGACAGGTTCAAACCCAGCCCCAGCCAAAAAAAAAAGAAAGAAAAGAAATTTCAATATTGGAAAAAGGGCTTGTTTTGTAAGAGGAATTTAAATTCCATATTATAATGAGTTATATACATATTCTACTTCACCTGAAGGCAACTCTTACATATATGGCCTACCTCACAAGTATAGCTTATACCTGTACAGGTTTGATATCATGTGAATAAAGTTATAAAAGATTCATAAAGAGGAGAAATCTCTTTAACCATTTCTTTTTTCTAATCTCAAAAGACTGGATTTATGTCAAAGGTCTCAAATTTTTTTATTTTTTACAGATCAGATAAAAATACTTTCATAATGTAAAATACACAGTCTCCTATCTTCTGTTCTGTAAAACGATGAAACATTAAAAGGCTTAAATTACTAGATCCTTCTGGATATCCCAAAGTATATTTGCACTCTTCCTGAAAAGGGCCTCCTCCTCGGAATTCATGTTAACTTTCACAACATCTGAGACACCATTCTGACCCAAGACACAAGGAATACTGAGAAAGATTTCTTCTTTTATTCCGTATAAGCCCTGAAAGATAAGATTAGATTACTGTTCAGTAACCTTATCTGGAAAAGCAGCTGTATAAGAGAGCTCCAGACTAGGAGTATATATATACAAGAGAGCCTATGGTGGTCAACAAGATTCAAGTGGAGGTAGCAGAGTAACTGTAGCAAAAGTGAGAGCTTCTTTATGCCCCATGATGATGTAGAATTTACATTCAGTGACAAGAAGAACATGCCAGAGGCCTTTAAAAGGACCAAGAAAGGGAACAAGTGTGGTGGCTCATGCCTGTAATCCTAGCACTCTGGGAAGCCAAGGCTGGTTAGGCCAATAGTTCAAGACCAGCCTGAGCAAGAGCAAAACCCTGTTTCTACAAAAAGTAAAAAAATCAGGCTCGGTGCCTATAGCTCAAGCAGCTAAGGTGCCAGCCACACACACTAGAGTTGGCAGTTTCAAATCCAGCCTGGGCCCACCAAGCAGCAATAATGACTACAACCAAAAAATGGCCAGGTGTTGTGGCAGGCACCTGTAGTCCCAGCTACTTGGGAGGCTGAGGCAAGAGAATCACTCAAGCCCAGGAGTTGGAGGTTGCTGTGAGCTGTGACATCATAGCATTCTACCCAGGGATGATGACTTGAGGCTCTGTCAAAAAAAAAACAAAGTAAAAAAATTAACTAGACCTGATGGTACATGCCTATAGTCCCAGATACTTGGGAGGCTGAGGCAGGAGGACTGCTTGAGCCCTAGAGTTTGAGGTTATAATAATCTATGATGATGCCACCATTCTATGATGTGCCTGGGCAACAGAACAAGACTGTCTCAAGAAAAAGGACCAAGAAAGGTACAATCAACTTTTCCCCTTACAAAGTCACCTTTCTGTTCAAGGGAAAGGATACATGCAGTCCTTCATGATGCCACAGTACTGCTAAAGGACTATGAGATCAAAAAGCCTTTTTGGGGCGGCACTTGTGGCTCAAAGGAATAGGGCACCAACCCCATATACCAGAGGTGGCAGGCTCAAACCCAGCCCCAGCCTAAAAAAAAAAAGCCTTTTTGGTGACTGGAAGTCCTAGAGGAGTAACTGCTTATATTCCACATCCTCTGCAGCCTCAGAAGGGTGAGTAGTATCCCCTGTGTACTCCTCATTGCCCCTTCCAAATCATTAAATCCCTACTCTTATAAAAACAAAACATATTATCCCTCTGTTTTTGAGGCTCCTTATATTCATTCAGCTCCTTTCCCCTTTCTAATGACCATCTATCTACTAACCTCCAGTACCTAGTTATTCCACCTCATTCACAAAAGATGTTGACACATGGCTCGCAGTCATCCCTACGTATCCCGATTTCTGCCATTATCCTTGCTGACTTCATTGTTCATGTGAATAACAACAAATTTTCTTTCTTTCCAGTTTCTTGACTTCCTTAGCTCATAGGACCTTCTCCTCCCAGTTCAATTATTCTACTGTGGACCTTGTTATGGGGTCCCTCCATACCCAACTTAGATTCCATGATCTATCATTCTATCACTCTTTTGCCATATCCTAAACCCCTTTGCCCATTTTAATGTTTAGTTTTTAGAAATATTTCTTACATTCTTTATTATTTTTAAATATTTATTCATATATGTATATATAAATAGATCACATTTAAGGGCAAAGTCTTCAATTTGTCTGTGACCTTTTAGGAGAAGATTCAACTCATTTTCAACATGTGTACAAACCAAAGCTGCGTGTACCTCTCTCTCCCAAACTCTTTCTTCTTTCCCATTCCCCAATATCTCTGTCTCTCTCTCTCTCTTTTCCTTTCACACTCTGCTAGTAAAAGCCGAACCTGAATGAATTTTGCTGTCTGTTTTCTCCATTCCTGCACTCAGGTCACTGGATAAAAACAAAGTTGATCTTCAGCTTACGTTACAAATTTAACATTACAAATTAATGGTTACCAACCTCAAATAAGCATCCACCCTGATAGCAATTCTGCTTTTTTAAAAAAGTCAGATCTACTTTCCCATTATCTATAAAGACTATTCAAAGTCTTCTCAAATCTCTGACTTTCTTATGCCTTCCCTCTCAGTGGACGATTTTCTCTCCTTTCATTAAAAAGATAGAAAGCATCAGATGCTTCTAATGCCAAACTTACTAATCTATATGCATCAGTACCCATCCTCTCTGTCATCACCTATCACAACAGAAAGTTGTCCCTCCTTTCTAGGCTAACACTGCCACCTCCAAGGGTGTCCAACCTTTTTTGTTTTCTGCCACTCATCGGAAAAAGGGTTGCCTTGGGCAACGCATTAAATACACATGCACCCCAACGCAAAACTCTTTTATGAATTTCAGAAAATTGGACTTATCTACCTATTTCTGCTCAGGTATCTTAAAGACACCTCAAATTTAATTTGTCTAAAACTGCAACATGACCTTCAACCTGCTTGCTTCTCTTTCGTATTTCCTTCCTCGGTGAATGAGATTGCCATCTAAGAACAGAAACCTAAGAATGACCTCTCTGTCTCTCACATCCCACTCATTCCATTCCCCAGTCTTATTAATTTTACCTCTTAAATACAATGTATCTCAAATTTGTCCCTTTTTCTTCACCTTTACTACCACCATCCTCTCTATTCTAAGCTACTGCAAAACCTAACAAGCTTCCCTACATTTACTCTTGTCCCCTTCAAATGTGTTCTCTCCATTACTGCCACAGGAATCTTTTTAACATAAAAATGCCTCATCTCTTGCTTTCCGCTGCTCTTAAGGTAAGGACCCACACACCTTTTATGAGGCTTTTGTGGACTGACCCTGCCTACTTCTCCAGCCTCACAGAGTATTCTTCCCTTCCTTCTCTACATTTCAGTAACTGAAATTTTTTTCAGATCCTCAAGTGTTAATCCATATTTGCCTGTATCCTCTGCACATGCATTCCCTCTGCTTGGAATATTAGACTAGCCTTCAAAATTAATTCCTACTCATTATTTGGGTTAGGCCACATTTTACTTGCTTAGGAAGTCTTCCCATGGTCCTTCCCCAGAGTAAATTCTCCTGTTGTATATTCTTAGCACTTTGTAGTTTTTCATCATACCATTTGTCACAATTTATCATATATTTACTTTTGTAATTGTTTTATGAAGTCCATTTCTTTCATTAAACTCTATAAAGTCAGGGTCTCCATCTTTTTTATCCACTATTATATCACCTTCAGTATCTGTACACTGCCTGGCACATGGCAGGAATTCAATAAATACTAGTGGAAAGAATAATAAAGATTTAATTTAAGCCTACCTTAACCATAGTGGACACTGGATGCACTTTCCTAAGATTTTTCAAAATTGATCCTGTCAGATCCATGACAGACAGTCCAATAGCCCAAGAGGTATACCCCTTCAGTTTGATAATCTCATAGGCACTACAGTTATAGAAAGTTAGGAAATAAAATTCATGAGAAGTCAACTCAGAGAAAACATAATATTCTTCAAGCATCCATTTTGAAATAATGTACATGCCAATGCTGCACTATTAAAACTTTATCAGAGGTTTCTTCTAGAAAAATTTCTATACTATTTTCATAAAACTTCACTACTCACTTTAAATAAAAATTAATGCACCCTTCTATTATCATAAAGACAGAATACTAGGACATATGTGCCACTCAACATGAAATACTTTTGTGTTGTTGCTCAAATATCCAAATATAGAAACTGATTACCTTGGAAGTTGCCATATATACATTAGCATATCCCCGCAGTAAAGAAAAAAAGAAAGTTACCATGTAAATTTCTCTAACCATTTAAAATTGTTACCAAAATGGAAATGTAACTTTATATAGTTTTAAGCCATGTGGACATATTTTTCCTTAAAACTTATGATTAAATCAATAATGAATGGATATGGAAAAATGGCCACGATATATTTTCGAAGAAACAAGAACAGTCCTAAACATTAGGCACTTCTTATCTCTGGCTTGAAAAAACGGTTTTTTTTCCTTGAGACAGAGCCTCAAGCTGTCGCCCTGGGTAGATTACCGTGGTATCACAGCTCACAGCAACCTCCAACTCCTAGGCTCAAGCGATTCTCTTGCCTCCACCTCCCAAGTAGCTGGGAGTACAGGTGCCCACCACAACGCCTGGCTATTTTTTGGTTGCAGCCATCATTGTTGTTTGGCGGGCCCGGGCTGGATTCAAACCCGTCAGCTCTAGTGTATGTGGCTAGTGCCTTAGCCACTTGAGCTACAGGCGCCAAGCCTCTGGCTTGCAAAAAATGTGTAATTTTTTTTTTTAAATTTGATAGAGACTTACTCTGTCTCCAAGGCTGTAGTGTAGGGGTGGGACTGATACCTCACTGCAGCCTCAAACTCCTGGGTTCCAGTGATCTTCCCACCTCAGCATCTCAGGTCTTCTGTAGAGGTGACTACAAGCATATACCACCATGCCTGGATAATGTTTTTTCTTTTTCTTGTACAAAGGGGTCTCGCTATGTTGCCCATGCCAGTTTTGAACACCTGGCCACAAAAGACCCTCCAGCCTTAGCTTCCCAAAGTGCTGGGATCACAAGCATACGCTAGCATACCCCAGTCTGAAACATAAACTTTTATACAAACTTTAGAACTGTATCAATCTACCAAGTTATTAACAGTGTTTATTTTTGAATAACAGTGAGTGGCAGATTTACAGATGAGCCTTCTTTTATTTTAATTTTTCAGAAGCAATTAAGGTAAAACAGGTGAGCTTTCTTTCTGCTTTTGTCAACTTTCTTATTTTCCACTATGTATTATATATTTGTATCACCACCAACAGTGGTCTGAGGTTTGGCTTGACAGTCAAACTGACAGGACAAAGAAAATGGTTTTTTGTTTGGGATTTTGGGGGGGGCGCGGTTTGAAATAGTCTTACTCTTGATGCCCTGTTAGAGTGTCATGTCATTATCAGAGCTCAGAATAACATCAAACTCTTGAGCTTGAGCAATCCTCTTGCCGCAGCCTCCTGAGTAGTTTGGACTGCAGGTGCCTACCATGACTCTCAGGTAGTGTTTTCTATTTTTAGTAGAGATTGGGGTCTCACGATAGCTCCCGAGGTCAGACAATCCACCTGCCTTGGCCTCCCAGAGTGCTAAGATTACACACATGAGCCACCGTGTCTGACTGACAAAGAGATTTTAATTTCACACTAAGTTTATTTAGCAAAAAGATACAGGATCCAGATGCAGTGGCTCAGGCCTGTAATCCCATCACTTTGGGAGGCTGAGAAGGACCTTTTGATGCCAGGAGTTAAAGACCACTGGGTAACACAGTGAGACTCTATCTCTATAAAAACTAAAAAAAGAGGGCAGCGCCCATAGCTCAGTGGATAGGGCGCTGGCCACATACACAGGGGCTAGTGGTTCAAACCCAGCCCAGGCCAGCTAAAACAACAATGACAACTGTAACAACAACAAAAAAAATAGCTGGGCATTGTGGCAGGTGCCTGTAGTCCCAGCTCCTTGCGAGGCTAAGGCAAGAGAATTGCTTAAGCCATAAGTCTGAGGTTGCTGTGAGCTGTGATACGACAGCACTCTACCTAGGGCGACAGCTTGAGACTCTGTGTCAAAAAAATAAAAAGAAAAGAAAAGAAAAAATTAGGCTGGGCACAGTGGCTCACACCTATAATCTTAGCACTCTAGAAAGCTGAGGTGGGTTTCTTTGAGGCCAGGAGTTGGAGACCAGCCTATAGAGATCCTGCTATAGAGCCTATAGAGCCTGCTTGAGATCTCTACAAAAAACAGAAAACATTAGGACTGCTTGAGCCCAAGTGCAATGAGCTGTGATGACATCACTATACTCTAGCCAGGGCAACAGAGTGAGACTCTGTCTAAAAAAAAAAAAATTAGCTGGGCATGGTGGTGCATCCCTACAGTCCTAGCTACAAACTAAAGTAGGAGGATTGAAACTGCAGGGAGCTATGATTGTGCCACTGCACCCCAGCCTGGGCAACAGAGTGAGATCCTGCCTCTAAAAAAGTAAGTCAGGAAGGTAAGGAAAGAAGGAAGGAAATATACAGAACAGGAAACACAGAACATACAGCACCATCATTCACATCAGGAGGTCTTAACAACTATCCAGACACAATTTTAAAGTGCCCAGACTACACATATACCCTTGGTTGTAAAAGGTAAGGCTGACATGTACACATGGATCAACATAGCACAGAGAAGTTGGGCATTTGACTGTCAGTCCAAAACCAGGGCCACTACTGGAGACCATGCAGATTGGTGGCAAATGTACCTTTAGACCTCAATTCAACATGGCCAAGAATCTGTGGGGTAACTAAAAGAAAAGGGAGTGAAGTTCTGCCTAGTGATTAACAGCACCTTGTCTATCAGTTGGAGAAAGCTCTGCAATAGATAACTGGGATCTGGATGGCAGATTTATCACCTCAGTAATTAGCAAAATGGACTGAGAAAGGAAAAAAAGTTGAAAAGAAAATGGCTAAAATTATAATCCTTTAGTTGCTAAAGGATATAATCCTTTAGTTGCTAACTATCCTGATGAAAATAAAACTACTAATGCAAAAGACAGGGTAAAGGGCACAGATAGAATAAATATTTTTAAGGCTAGTACTTTAACCAGCCATTTTAAACTGAATGCTTTAAGACACATGGAAACTAGTATTGGTCAAAATAGTTTCCTTAGTGGTTGGGATATGGTTTTGTCTCCAGATCAGTTGAATCCCTGAATGTACTAAGGAATGATTCAAATGGCCCCTATAACTGAAAGTGTATAGGGTAAAGTATATTTTTGTTGAAAAGGACAGGAAATGTGCCAGGCACAGTGGCTGATGCCCGTAATCCTAGCACTCTAGAAGGCTGAGGCAGGTAGATTACCTGAGCTCACGGGTTTGACACCAGCCTGACCAAGAGTGAGACCCCCATCTCTAAAAATAGCAAGGCTGGCTCAGCACCTGTAACTCAGTGGTTAAGGTACCGGCCACATGCACTGGCTGGTGGGTTCAAACCTAGCCCAGGCCTGCTAAACAACAATAACAAAAAAACATTTTGTGGTTATGGAAGGCACCTGTAGTCCCAGCTCCTGGGAGGCTGAGGTAAGAGAATCACTTAAGCCCAAGAGTTCAAGGTTGCTGTAAGCTGTGATGCCACAGCACTCTACCAAGGGTGACATAATGAGACTCTGTCTCAAAATAAATAAAAATAAAAATAGTAAGGTGGTGTGGTGGGTGCCTGTAATCCCAGCTACTTGGGAGACTGAGGCAAGTGAATCACTTGAACTCAAGAGTTTAAGGTTGCTGTGAGCTATGACACTACAACACTCTACTAAGGGTGACAAAGTGAGACTCTGTCTCAAAAAGAAAAAAAATAAAAGAAAAAGCCAGGCTCGGCACCTGTGGCTTAAGTGGCTAAGGCACATATATCTGAGCTGGCGGGTTAAAATCCAGCCTGAGCCCACCAAACAACAATGATGGCTACAACCAAAAAAAAAAAATAGGCAGGCGTTGTGGTGGGCGCCTCTAGTCCCAGCTACTTGGGAGGCTGAGACAAGAGAATCACTTAAGCCCAGGAGTTGGAGGGTGCTGTGAGCTGTGATGCCACGGCACTCTACCCAGGGTGACAGCTTGAGGCCCTGTCTCAAAAAAAAAAAAAAAAAAACCCAAAGGATAGGAAATGATACTGTAATATTAACATATATTTTGTTTGCTAGGCAT